CGTCGGTCCTACCATTGAGCTCAGATGTTTGAAATGATGCCTCACTCTGGAACAGATCCAACTCTGTCTGTCATTGCCACTCCTTAATGGGATTTTTTCCCAAACTGAGATTACATTAGACACAGTCTACAGTAGATGTCACCAGTAACTGATCACAAGTATTCACAATTGGAAAAATCTAGATGTGGTTAACAGATGGATCTTTTTATCCCAATAGTCGTCGTCGTCGTCTTCCTCCACTTATCCGGGTCCGGGTCGCGGGGGCAGCATCCCAGCTAGGGAGCTCCAGACCGTCCTCTCCCCGGCCACCTCCACCAGCTCCTCCGGCAGGACCCCAAGGCGTTCCCGGACCAGATTGGAGATGTAACCTCTCCAACGTGTCCTGGGTCGACCCAGAGGCCTCCTGCCGGCAGGACATGCCCGAAACACCTCCCCAGGGAGGCGTCCAGGAGGCATCCTGACCAGATGCCCAGGCCACCTCAACTGACTCCTTTCGATTCGGAGGAGCAGCGGTTCTACTCCGAGTCCCTCCCGAATGTCCGAGCAATCCGAGCTACCGAGTTATCCCAATAGACAAACAAATAAAGCAACAACAAATGCTTTTGGCTGCTGTCTGCTGCAGATCGGCACCAGTCTGCGACCTTACTGAGTGGTTCAGAATATGAATAAATGATTTTCCTTCCCCCAAAAATAAGCCTCATATTTCATAAGTGCACAGCTAAATGTGGGCATCATGTCAAACTATTAAATTTACACATTTTGTTTTGGCAGAGGTAGATTCCTTGCATGTTCAGTTTAAAATGACCCTGAGCCACCCCAAACACAGCCACGTGTAAAAAGATACAAATTAAAATACTGGAACAGAAATGTAAAACTGAATATATTTGTAATATACAGAAAGTATAAATATAAACATCAAGCGTGTTTCCATTAATGTAACTTCAGGGTTATTTCTGGGAGGGAGAAATTTACCGGGAGATGCAATCCCGGTCCTCTCAGCTGGTTTGTCTCCATACAAATTCAGCCCTTTCAGGACTTTGTACAGACGTCAGCATATTGCAGCTGCTTTGGCAGCAATATGTCACTGATCAGCACCAAAATGCAAAGTTAAATTTTTTTTGAAGTACGGCATCATTTATTCCAGTTGGAGGACTTGTAGAGCTGCTGTTTGATGACAAATGTGGCGTTTAGTGACCAGAAGAAGTGTCGTTTGTCGCTGTGCTCTGTGAGAAAACAAAACCCTCTGAATGACGCCATTGTAGAGGGATTTCTGGTGTGTTTTTTAGTGTTGGGAGTTTATTACGATTATTACGATTTTATTGCAGCGTGAATGTTGCTTAATGCTCTTGCCTGTTGAATCAGAAAAATTAAAGCTGTAATAAACACTAAAAAAACAACAGAATCTGTTTTTGGTTTTCTACCTATTGTACACATAATAGTTGTAGAAATGCAAATGCAAAATTCTGTAAATTGCATTGTATAAAAACATCTTAGTAATAGTACAAAGCCAGTGATATATTGCATACTTCTTCCCAACTATCAGAACTTTGTTGGTGTCTCTTTGGAAAATTGCCTAACTTTCTACCATTTCCGTTAAGGTAAATGGGATAAAACACAAATTTGCATTTTCTGTTGACGATAATCTTGAAATCCATGAAAAACCTGCGGCACGGTCAGATAGAAACTTGGCAAATGAGCTCCCGGATGTACCCGACGTGTTGAGTCAATGAAAATGGAGTCATGGTGGTAGTTTAGACAAGTAGAGAATGATGCAGCCAGTTTCACAATGTGTGTGTGTGTGTGTGTGTGTGTGTGTGTGTGTGTGTGTGTGTGTGTGTGTGTGTGTGTGTGTGTGTGTGTGTGTGTGTGTGTGTGCGCACGTAGATGTTGGCATAAATAGGAAGTTCAAACATCAGCCTCCCTTTCAACATAAGTTGACATTAAACTTGATCTATCCGGTTAGAGTGTAAACAAGATTAAACCTGTCAGGATATCTGTGCAAACGTTGGTTATGCCTTCAAAAAGCAGATCAAGTTATAAATGTAGTTAATGCATTTTTTTTTGTCAACCCAGGACACAATGCAGACATCTTTGCAGATTCTTTTAATTTTATAGTTCTCTCCCCATGTGCTCTCCCTGCTGTGATGTCAAGTTGGCAGGAAGTGATGTGAAACTCAGTCATCCGATAGTATTTACAAAATAAGCGCATAGTCAAGCTGTCAGAGTGTGACAGTATGGGGGGGGGGGGGGGGGGGGGGGCAGGCATTTAAACACACACACACACACACACTAAAGCAGAGTAAATCTCACTCCTCTTTCCAGACAAGCTGCCTCTTTCACATCTCAGCTAATGCAACCTGTTCACGCACATTTCCAAAAGGACCTTCTCCCGTGTAACCTGTAACCTGTAGGATTCTGTCCCACCTGTGTTTGATAGCAATTATTACTGGTAAAAGTTTTCAGGTAATGCATGATGAATGCTGACCTCCCTTTTGTGGGATCCCACAGGGTTCTTTTCTCGGCCCTCATTCTTTTGTCCATCTCATTTTTTTAAAAGTTACGTCTGAAAGTGCTGCACTCATAAAATGGCATGGTGTGGTAAGATATAACCTTTAGAAAAGGGAAAAATCTGTTTATGCCATTGAATGATTGGTTTTTGTTGTGTATAAAATAGGTAAAACTTTACCAAACTTACCAAAAAATGTTTAGTTTTTAAATCATTTAGGATGAAGCTGTAGAAATGGACATGTACTCCAAGGCAGTTGAGGTTAACATCAGTTCTTTGTGAACTTTGTATAACCGAGTCTGTTTGTTGAGCTTAGTGTCACGACTGAAGCCGGGTTTATTCTTCTCTGTGAGCTCCGAACAGTTTTCACATTCACACATTCACACTTCTGTTCAGGCAGTGGTGTGTTGCAAAGCAATTCCCCGCCAGCACAAATTAGTCCTTCATTCTCCTCCACTTTTCATGTGGTCACCAACTCTAAACCCACTTTTCCCTTCGTTTCTGTCCATATTTTGCTCCGTATTTTGTACTCCTTCACTCACGGGTGAATAAATGTTCAGATTTTCGGACGTTTTCTGCAATTCGTTCTTCAAT